TTTTTTGGACCACGTAGCATATAGCTGGTGTCTTTACAGAATTTCCAGGACCATTTTACATGATGATAGTGGATAGTAAAGTCATGGCTGTAAACCAATATATCATGAAAGAGAACTAAGACATAATCTCTCAGTTGCGCATTAAATATGAGGCTTTGAATGTAGCAGGGGCATTAGTGAGCACAAATGGCATCACTTTGAACTCATAAAGGCTTGGTGTGTTTTGAAAGTTGTCATGTGAATGTCTGATTGAGTAACTCTGATTTGGTGATAGCCAGTCCTGAGACCGATTTTAGAACAATACTTAGACCAATTAAGTTCATTAACCAGTGGCATAGAGAACTTGTCCTTGATATTTAAGCTGTTCAAATTTCTGTAATCTACACAAAAACGCTAGGACCCATCCTTCTTTTTGACTAGTAGAACAGGATATGCAAATAGGCCGCCGCTGGGTTGAATTATCCCACTATCCAGCATCTCTTTTACTGTCTCTCAATCTGAGTTTTCTGAATGAAGGGATATCTGTATAGCCTAAATTTAAATGGCTGGGATCCCTCTTTTAGTGGAATCTGGTAGTCATAGGACCTAGGGGAGGCAACACTCTAGGCTCTTCAAATACACCTGGGCATTGGTTGATAATTTCTGTAATCTGCTTGAGAATCTCCTTCTTCTCCCCCTTTGTGATGGTGTATAATTGCCCATCAATGCCACAACTGTTCCTTCTAAATAGATTCTTCATTTTCTCTACTCCAATCATCTTCACATCTGGCACGGTGTCCTTACTCCTCAAGTTTACTTCTGTACCTTCATGTTTGAACTTGATAATCCCTAGAGTGAAATTGAACATGATTGGGCAAAATCGACTCATCCAATTTAATCCCAACACAATTTCACTGCCACACAGTTTCAATGTTCTTAGATGGCATTGGAATTCCCAGTTTTGTACCTTCCAAGTCAGGGGTGAATATAGGGCCTTGCTCTCTAATTTCTCACCATTTTCCATCCTGACTGTCGATGTTTTAGTTCCATCAATTGCCAAGTTCAGCTCTCTAGCCAGTTCATCATCTATAAAGCTATGTGTGCTACCACTGTGTATCAGGATAGAAATTTCCCTCCCTTTGATTACACCTGGCACCCTCATAGTTCTGTGCCTGGAACTACAAATGCATGCAATAACAAAAATATTTGTAACTTACTTCTCGTTCTGATTCATCTCCTCATCAGTGTCATCTTCCTTAGCCTCATCCACTAGAATAAAATTCAGGGCCCTATACGTGCATACATGGCATATAGTATATTTTTCTTCACACTCGTAACAAAGTCACAAATTCCTCTTCGTTTGAAAATCAGTGGGGGTAATGGTTTTGTAGTTGTTTGGAGGTTTACTGGCTTTTGGTAAGGGGTCTTTGGCACTGGTTTCTTTAGGTGGTTTTGCGGCGAAGGGACTCCATATGTTTGGAGTAAATCCCTTTGGTTTCTGGAATTTGTGAATGGCTTCAATAGTGGATTCCTATAGGCAAGCTATCTCAAACGCCTTAGCCAGTGTATTGGGTTTAACCATTGATCTAATCTCTCCTTTTAGACCACTAGTGAATGCAGCAATATAGCCTATTCAGGAACATTAGGTAATGAAAGCATCACCTGTGATTTCAGTTCGTCGAACTTCTCCTGATATTCCTCTATAGTTCCAAGTTGCTTGATCTTACTGAAGCTTTCTACTACTACTCCATTAGTTTCTGCAAATCTCCTACAGATTTCATCTGAAAATAGATTCAATAAACCCATCAAACTGGATATCAGCCTTCCCTTCTAAATATATTCTGCAACTCCTATTCTCAGTTCATCTGGTATTTGGTGTAACTGGAAATACTTCCCAGCTTTTCTCAACCACTATCTAGGATCTTAAGAAGCTTCATATTCTCTTAAAATTCACCTCCGTTGTTAGAAATACTATCTTCACTACTAGCCCTGGTGTTAAAATCACAATCCCAAATCTCAAGTTGTCTACAGGTCCTTCCACACCCTTCTTCTGATCAATCTTCAGCTCAGAAGATATTTGAACCTTCATAAACACTACCTTCTCATAGATTTTATTCATGCCTAGCAAAGGATTCTCAATATTCTCCAGCCTATGTCCCCGTACTTGGAGGATTTGATCCATAACCTCAAGCATGTTTTCTAGTCGGCTAGTAACAACTTTAAAAGTTGTACCTAAATCAGCCATTTCCAAGTCTAATTTCTTCAAGTGCTCATCCACCGCCTTAGATATTGTATCCATGATTATCAATCTCTATGATACGTCTGCTCTGATGCCAATTTGTCACGAATTGAATTTTAATCCGCAACCTCTAGCTCCACATCTCAACTATGGAACTCTACCCAGTTGAATCAATTGAACTTGTAACCAAAATTAAAAGTAAAAGAGAATTGGGGAGGGTGAAAATGATGAAAATAAGAAGAATGGAAGGTGAGAACTGAATTGAATCTGTTCAATTAGCAACTGAAACTTCAGAAAATGACAACTGACCTCTACCTCGCACATGGTTGTGTCTATATCTGTTCCGTACAAGTAAAAGTCCTATTTTTGAAGCCAAAAAACCTAGAACGTTCTTCTCTTATGTCGAAAAATACGGATAATGGATCGCCATGTGGGGTGATCTGACCGCAGGATCTTATAAGGGTTGGAGGAAGTGGTTTGAATTTAGAACTCAAACCCATAACTCCCAAATAACCACTTGAAACTTCCATATAGAAGTTATGGAAAAGAGGGAAAAATGCAAGACATAAGAAAAATGGTTAAAAAATTCGTATGAAAATTCACCTCAAAATTGGAAAGTCCTTAGAATCACATTTTTTGCATGAAATCTCAAAAGAAATGGCACTTAAATTGTGGACAATAATCCCATTCCATTGTTTCTTGAGTTTTATTTCAATGTTGCTACTTTAGCATGTTGTCAATGACTATGATTGATTCAGTTTGATGGGGCATGTCTAGGAAAGCAGTTAATTTAAAATCGAAGGATTCAAGTAGGAAAGGAAAACTATTTTGACCAACATTTATGTTTGAATTCACCAGCCGGACAATTGTGTTTAACCATTTGGGGTATGGAATACAATTGTGAATACAATGATATGATGCGGAGTTCAAGTATATTCCACAAATACTCGAGGGATCGAAAATACTTGAATTAATGTTGGAAAATGAGTTTGGGGCATAGAGAAATGTGATGTTCCTCCTCTAGTAGAGCTACTATATATCCCTAACAAGTTTATAGTACCGCGAGCTCTAATATTACTTGTTGGTCGCATGATCTATTTGCCGTATGAATCTTTGTGAGATAGATCTTGAGAAGGATCTAAAGTGTGATATTTGTTGTCACTTGTGGTTCGGATCAACCCCATCATATGCGAGTGGGAGATGTTGGAAAATATGGATAATGGGTCGCTCATGTGAGGTGACCCGACTCGCAAGATTTTATAAGGGTTGGAGGGAGTGATTTGAATTTAGAATTCAAACCCGTAACTCCCAAATAACCACTTGAAACTTCCATATAAAAGTTATGGAAAAGAGGGAAAAAATGCAAGACATGAGAAAAATGGAGAAAAAATTCGTATGAAAATTCACCTTAAAATTGGAAAGTCTCTAGAATCACATTTTTTGGATGAAATCTCACAAGAAATGACACTTAGATTGTGGACAATAATCCCCTTCCATTGTGATCGGAATTTGGATCATTGGAGTACAAGAAAATACAAATTTTGGATATTTGAAAACAAGGTGATTCAATCACAAAAAAATCTTAAAATTCATCATTTCAAATAAATTTATTAATCCGAAATTCATGTCAAAGCATGCTACGATTTTCCTACATCTTACAATTTATTTAATTAAACTAAAGCAAAATGAGGCAGTTTTCTCTTAAACCAAACGCTGTCGTTTCGTATTTGAATTTCAGTTCCCATTGTTAATTCCTTCTTCCTCAACTTCCGATCTCTGCCTTTCCTTCCATGGCTGGTTCTTCGCCACCTTTTTCCCCAGTTGCTTCCCACGTAACATAAATTTGGTACCCTATTTGTATGTTATCGCCGAAATATGTTGAATATGAAATAGTAAGGTAATTGGATACAATATCTTAAGTTGTCCTTGAATGGTCTAACGGAGCTCCGGAAGAGCTGCCTTATGGAGACAATGGCCACCAAGTAAGGATCTGAAGAGCAAGAATTTGGCTATGGTTTTTAATAAATATATTTTTTATTATGATTTTCGAGGTATTTTTTTATAGATTTTTCGAGCCTATGGGCTGATTTTCTGGGCCAAGAAACTGATATTCTCTCCATTATCAGCTGCATTTTTTGGCTAGCAAACTTACAGGTGAGACCCACATTCAAATATAACGGCTATTTTTTGGCTGATAATCCATTCAAGAATTAATGACAGGAATTTTGGTCTTTTTATCTTTCATGACATACATCGCCTCATAATACGAGGATCTATAACAGATTGCAATTTTAGATGATTTTATGAGATGTGGCATACGTACATAAGTTTGTTGGTTACTTTCAGAAGATTTTTCAAATCTCTTCTCACATGCTCCCCTAACTAGTTTTTTGCCGTGTAGAGCTTCCCTCAAGCCGCCACATGATCATTTGTTTCCTTTTAAAACGAAGCCTATCACAAGCCTTATTTTGCAGCTACGTCATTTTGATAGGTAAAGTGGCTTCTTATTTTACAAATTGGTCATCCTGGCATCCCTGTGCGATTATCTCATACCAGATGAACTTAAGAAGAAACAAATTGTAATAAAAACTTATCGCGAATCTTGCTGTATAGGTGTGGGGAGGTAACAAATCTGCTTCAAGTTGCTGATGGTCTACAAATAATGGGGTAAATCAGTTAGTACAGATCAATTTAAGGGGCGGAAACAAATATTTACTAGAACAAATTTTCCAATTAAGAATAGGAATTATTGCTTGATCATGTACATTATCTGAGACTGGACTTCAAGAATACATATTATTTCCATATATTGAGGGGGCTGCAACCTCATAGAGCTTGGTAAAGATGATATACAACCACAAAATAGTTATAATTTCCTTTACAGCATTTGCCTTGCATATTTTTATAACCTATAAACTATAACCTTCACAAAAATATGGGTAAAAGAATAATAATGGAGTTCTAGCAGAAGCCTAAAATGTACCAGCCGAACACCCTTGATTGCACATAATAGTTTTCCCAAGGATAATTCAAGGAGCAAAAATGGAGATCAGTTTATTGTGAGTTTCCAATGTCCAATGAAGCATCAGAATGCTTTCTCCTCTTTGGTTCTGGTTCTGGTTCTGGATCACCTAACTGTAGAGAAACATAAATCTCTCCTTCCGACCCATTTCTTAAATCTGAGAGATTTTTCAATGCAGCCTGTTCCCAGTGATGGCTTCGATTTACTGGAGATTTATTAGAAAAACTCGGGATAAACTGGTGCTCAACACCCGGAGCTCTCTCAATGCCGCATTCAATATGAAAGTCGTCATGCCTCAATGTTGGAAGTAGTGCTTGACGAGAATCATTGCCAGTAGAAACTTGTTTGATGCTCAAAGCAATTGGCTCAAAGTTTTCTTCAGATTTACCTTTTGCAGTAACACGCTCAAGTGGTGATGTCTCTCCAACGGTATGACCACGTCCTGCTGATGCATCTATATGGTCTTGCACTGCAGCTATTTAGGCAATAGGAACGAAAGCATTCTTAATCAGGAGAAGATATCATAGGGAAAACATAGACATAGAAGAAAGTAAAGAAAATACTATGCGTTTTCCCCCTTCTCACCCTTTAACCTAGACCCAATTTTGCCCTGGACTACAACAAAATCTGCTAAGAAATGGAAGTGGAAAATGCAGACAACTGCCAAATAAATACAAATATACGATAGTTGCACTCGTGAGAATTTATTTCAAAAGAACACAGGTCCATACATAAGCACATTCACATAATCTTTGATGCGTGCGCTTAATTCATCAATTATGATCCAACAAATCACCCTTCCAGGCCTGAAAGTACTATTTGGATGCCTTGTGGAGTTAAAGTTGTGTCAATATCTATGACTCGTACAAAAATTTATACTGCCATGACTTTTATATATCAAATTGTTAAAAAATTTGATAATTACAACTACTACTGTGGTACTTTCTAGTAATTTCTCCCCAGAAAATCATATCTAAATCTTCTTTCTAAATGAGATATAATCAGGCCTTCTATAAATAAGTTGACTACCATTCAAGAAAGTTAATCCCAGTCATGAGGACAATTAGACCTATACAAACCTTGGAGGCCTTCGTTGGATCTTATGAGATCAAGTTCAAGGAGATCAAGAAGGCGCCCTAAATCAACTCCACTGGTCCAATTCTCAGGAGGCAGTCCAACTTTTAATTTCAACTGACCCCGATTAGCTGTCCCACCCCAAATGATTCCAACAGGCCTGGGTTTCTCCCCATTTTGACCTGTCAAAAGAATAAGGCTGCCACTGTCGCCTTCAAGGTCAAATGTCTGTTGATTCTCACCAACAACAAGAAAATCAGTAAGGAAACAAATCCCTTTCTCATCATTATACTCGAGGGCATAGGCCATTATAGTCCCAGTTGTCAAGCCAGAGCTCCTTCCAACTTTCACCACTTGTCTTCCAATAAGACTATTGATGGGAGACTGCAAGTCTATATTATTGACATCATCAATTTCACCTAGACCTTTCACAATTGTAGTCACATTGGCCATGTTAAAATCTTCTGTAAAAGGGACGAAAGCCCCATCTCCTCGAACAAATGTTTCTGCATGATCACAAGATTGTAATGGTCATGTATGGAGCCAGGACTAATTAGATACCCATTAGTACAAATATGAAATTAGAGACATCTTTATGTTTACTAACTAGATAAGCTTCTAAAGATGCAAAATAGGACTCAACAATCATATTATTGTCATACACAACTATTAAACAAAACATAAAGCTCAACATACCCAATGAGAGTAACTTTTAAAAGTGGTTTAGCAGCATGATGGCTCAAATCATCCTCTACCAAACCATTATTTTACCTTGTTATTTTAAAGCAAAATAATCTCCAGTTACAGAAACATTGCTCACTCAATCTGAATGTTTGTGTACAGTGGAATCACGAGTAATTATACAATAACATGAGTAAATGGCATTTTCATCAGTAACTTAGCACATATGCATTCCAGAACAAAGCCAAGGAAAATCAGATGGAAGAAAGACCATAAGATAAATGAACAAACATTTAATATATTATAATGATACAATGAAACAGTAGAAAGACTCCACAAAGGAATTATTCATACTCTATGCTACAAATGATAGACCAACTAATCAATTACAATGGTAAACTAGTATAGGCCAAATGCTTAAGTAGTTGGTGACTGGTTCATAAATTTTTTAAGTTTGTTCATACTGATCTATAAATATAATGATACAAAATAAGCCCACATTTGGCCCCCATTAAATTAAATTTTATTTTTCTTTCTCCTACTTTCAACTACACAATCTTCCATAAAATAATATTACACGTAAATTGAAAACTTTTACTTCTTTTTAACCATCCGTTCCAAGAAAATACCATTCCACCCGTTAAAATTTGAAATAATGGGAGCCATACAAGGCTAAATTTCTAAGGAAAGTTTAGCCAATCTTTCCACCTTTCGCCTCATCAGTAGTTACACATTTCTTTCTTCAGTGATAACCAACATATATATCTCTTCACAACTACACATTTCCTCTAATTCTCCTTCAATTGAGAATTATTTGTCTAGACAATAGAATCAGAAAAGCAGAATAACATAAGAACCACAAACTTCTAAGATTTGGTAGCACCTAGTGGATAATTAAGCAATTACATTTTATAATCTTAAATCGCTTTACCTGGGTTTGTTCCAGCAAATATTCCGTACCAAAGATCATCCGTTATAAATGATGTAGCCCTTTCCACAGCACCTAAATATACCCCTGGCCCAAGACTTGGGGGCAAGGGATGAAACATTTTTTGACTTGGGTAATCAAGATCGACTGCCACATGCCGATTAGTAAGGAAACCAACCTTCCTATTTCCTGTCCGACTTTTAACAATAGCACCCAAGGTTCCATATGTTTCTTGGCTTGCGACCTAAAAATGCACAAGATTATTAAACGCTGGGAAGGTATAACCAGGAATATAACGAAAAAGGGAGAATGCTTGAATCCAGGGTTATGTAGAAATGGCAACATCAAGGCATAAAGGCTGAAATTTAATCATGGATCTATGACATAGTTATGAACATTATTAGACGTGATGCAGATACTGCATAAAGAGAAAACTGATGTCAGTGAGAAGAGAAGCAGATACAAATATTGCCAGAATTGAAAAATATTGACTAGAAAGCATACACGATCCAATGCCCTAGAGGATTAATTCACGGGGTGCGTGAATAGCCGACAGATTCATTCTTATAAATTTCATTGCCAAATATTAGAAATGTACTGTACTTCTCCTTAGTGCAATTATGTCCATAGAAGCCAAGAATAACCCGGAGCAACATATAGGTCAGTTATGTAATTACTAGATTGTTTGCCACAAGAATCATAATCATGAGAAACCATGTACATCAGACTACTTGTTGTTTCAAACCTTCCTAAGACACAATAAACAATGAAGCAAGCACAAGGTACTCGGAGTAAAATAAAAATTACATCTGCCTGAGAGAGCTTCTAAAAATCGTAAACAGCACAGTGCCATAAGAGAAGATTTATGCAATCTTGGTTTAGATTTAGTATTTCTTTTGTAATATTTAAATATAAAAAGACCATTCCCTTACTTGGCAAAATACGAAACATGACTATATTACAAGAATGCATGAGAATGACAATAGAAATATAATTTATTACCTGGGAACCAGAACCAATGCATGGATCACTTCCACGCAAGCCGTCCACAAGTTCTGTATACAGTTGCTCCTTTGGGGTAGCTGCAGGTGCTCCATAATAAGAGAATTCAACAACATCAATATCACACCATACACCTCCAGGTCCCTGCTCAAGAAAGGACAAAGACACTCAAATTCCAGGAGCTTGTTACAGTAAAGAACTTCTAAATCTTCCACGACTCAAGTACAAAATTTTTTGTATAGCTGATTTTTTAAAATTTCTACATTTTTACATAAAAATTACAAGTTTAAACTGATCTTAAAGAAATTCCAAAACTTGAGCCAAACCCAATATTGTAACCATGAACTGAAGACATCATTTGAAGAATAATAACAAACCCCAAGAAAACTTTGAGCGTGAAAGCCACAACTCATGCTCATACGCAAAGCGGCAGTACCTACAGGTTAAAGCCAGAATATACCAAAATTAAAGACATAATCACCAAAATTTAGAACCTCGAGAGCAGCTGGTAGACATTGGGCAAGACTAAGCCATTGCCTGTGAACCTTTTTAGCAACAAATACAAGTATAGCTGGTATATCAGTCAACACGCCCCGCCTGATACGGAAACCAATTGCAGTGCCAAGACTACAGCGCCGCAAAAGTTTACTGTGAAATGCCCTAATTATCATCAGTTCAAGCAGGGTCGTAGCTTGCAGTCCTGATGGTCGTCGTCCAAAAGTTTCAGGTAAAACACCTTTCTGAAGATTTCCAAAGTAATGTGCCCTATCTTCAGCAGTATCTGTTACCTGGCTGGAAGTAGGCCATGAAAAATAAGCAGCATTGCTGTCGACCTGACCACCTGATGCAAGGGCTTGCAATGGAACCGGACTTGACAAAGGCAAATTGAGATTCTGGCAATAATTTCTTTCCAAATCCAAAGCTGATTCCTCTGATTGTGTGGAACCAGAGTGATGGGCTCTTAAATCCACTGTAACCCGTTCCATGTTTCAGGTTTCCTGCAAGAGAATAATACTTGAAATTAAATGATCTAATTAATAAGTTTTAGCTTTCTCAAAATATGCATCAACTAGAGCTTCATTGAGTTGAGTTCAGTTTCACTTTCAGTGACAAACGTGCTGCCACAGTGGAATTGAATAAGATATATAATAGAACAGGTCCTTACCCAACTCCATATAATGACAATTTACAACAACGACGAATTCAGACAATTCAAAATAGCACCTGACTTATGCGAACTTGTTCACAATTTGGCAAAACGCAAATAATAAGGAATTCAAGAGACAAAAAGGAAGTCGTTCACAGACCGCCATAGAAAACATATCAAGGTACTAAAACAACTGGGACTATTAGTCTCAAATTATAAGCTATTGGTTATTGCTGTCTCAGTTGCCCTACATTTCCGAGGAGTAAAGCTGAATAAAACCCAAAACGGAAATAACAGGAGCAAAGAACATAATGGAAATAGCCTAAATATCTACAAGAGAATGGTGGAAGAAACCCAGCCAGGATAAAAAGATTTGTGCGAACAGTACTTTTCAAAGAATAGCCTATAAGAATCAAACCCAATGGACAAAACACCCGGCCTCACCAGAGAAGCAAAATTTAAATCTAAAATTAATAAAGATTGAGTATTTATGTAAATTCAAGGAAAACCCACCTGTCAGCACATTAAACAATTTCATGCCCAGCACCACTTTTCTTCCCCACGCCCATCTGCGAGATCAATCAATTTAGATTGCCACTCTGCAGATTAATCGTATAGGAAAAGCCTGTGAACTTTCTAGTACAATTTAGTGCATATGTGCGTCTGTGTTCATTAGAGGGAGACTCTCCTGCGAGTTAAGATGGGATGAACAGTCAGATTGTTTGGTGTAATTAAAATTAGTGTTTTTTTTTAGTATATTGAAATTTTTTGAAATGTATAATTGAAAAGTTGTGAAATTATAAAAAAATGTGGTTAATATTCATCATTTAGTTCTGAGTTAAATTAAAATTGATAGATTTTAAATAAAATTAAACCAAGACATTTTCAGATACAGAAATGAATAATTATAATAATATAAAAATAGTATCATATATAAGCTGTTTGTAGAAAGTAGTGCTACAAACTTACAAATGAAAGGATTATTTTTGCCATCACTTTCATTCATTTACTTTTCTTTTTTGCCACTCATCATTTGAGTGATCACCACTCTTTTTCAATATTTGATAAAGAACAGATTCAAGGCATGAGAAAATTTTAATGGAGGAGGACAAGCAAGAAAGGGGGAAAACAGATTGAGAGAGAGAGAGAGAGAGAGAATTTCATCACCAATATATTGATAGAGTAACAAATTGGTTTTCAATCTTTCAAATATAGCATTTTGTGCTCAATATTTCACAATCGAGGTTGCACAATCAAATCTTATTGATAGGATGCCGATATGGTGGGCGGTCCTCCCTTCAAGGATGCTTGGGGAGGAAAGACAAGAATTAAAATATCTTCATTTCCATCCCGTTTAGTTGTTTACCTTGTTTTGTAAATACAATTTAAATTTAAACATAAAAATAAAAACAATATATGATTTAGGACATGTTCAAGACAAAACCAAATTACCTATCCCATGTCAATTTCCCAACAAGGCAGAGCGTGGCAGGTTGAGAAATTGTACTATCCATGCATATTGACAATATCTATCCAAATATCTGCTACATAGTCATATGATCTACATGCATTTATTTGTATAAACTCAAATTTTCATTACAACTTGAATTTGTACTTAGAAATTTAATATGAGATGAAATTTTGTGAAGGTCGAGAGACAATAAGGCTATGTTTGATTGGTTCAAATTCCATGGAAAATGGAATTCTAATTCTACTTTCTTCCAATTTTGTATGTTTGATAGGTTTTGAATTCCATGAAATTTGGTTTCTTGATTTTCTTGGAACTTGAAATTTTCTTGGTTTTTCTTGAAAACCAATATGGTGGGAATTGGTTTTCTAGTTCCCTGTTTATTTTTATTTATTTATTTATTATTATTTTTTTTGTAATAGAAACAAATTCTAAGAAATATTGTACAAAAATATTTCATTTTAATTGGCAATTTTCATGTAAAATAAAGTTAAACGAATACCAAAAGATAATTTTTATTTTTTTGTTGGCAATGGAAACAAATTTTATTCCTAATACCAGTAAAATATATTCCTTTAATTGACAACTTTCATATAAAACAAAACAAAACAAACGCCAAAAAATACTTTTATTTTAATATTTTTCACGTGAAAAATTATAATAATCAAACACAATAATTTACAATTCTTAGGAAAACAATTTATAGGCAATTCATTTTTCTAGAATTCGTTTTTAATTCCATCTTTGTAATCAAACGGATCCTTAATGAAAATTTAGACCACCTCCACTATTCAAAATTGATGATACAACTACATTGAAAGATTGATAATTAACTTTCTCATTTTTAAATGTGAGACTAACTTGCTAATGATCAATATTTGAGGGTCAATGCTGTCAAAAAAATTCCCAAAATAAATATCATATTTCTTGGATCCCATTGATTATATGTCTTGTGGGGATTGGGGGCCCATACAAATTTGCTCCCTAAAAGTTGCACACTTTTTCAACAAAATAATCCATTCCTAGTTATGGTAACTTTGGTGGAGTGGGATGGGGGTATGTTGGCCTTGCTTTTATACTTCTTTTCCTGCACTTTTCATATATTGAAATACCAAGATATTTGGTTCTTGATCAATTTATTTGGGATTTCTACAAGCCACATTCATTATATTTACTCATTCGTTTACAATTTTTTTTCCTGGACATCCAAAATGTAACAAAAGCACAACATATGTAAAGATGTTCTTTCTACTTCACGATGTCATTTGGTTGGAAAAAGTAGATTGTTGTGAACGTTGATTTTTAATAGGGTTGGAATGTTGCGATCCAATTATATCTCACATGACTCATAAAAGACATTCCTTGTAAATTTATAAGCACATTTTAGACACACTCCCCTTGTAAACCGGTTGTAAGGATGGTTCGAAAGTGGTTGTTGAAACAATATAAAGATTTAATTGTATTCATTTTGCTCATGAAAGACTTGCCATGTGGATTTATAAGCACCTTGTATGCCTCCTTACAAGTCAGTTTTATATGTAAGTTCTACTGAAATTGATTGTTATTATATTGCACATCTTTCGTAGAGGACTTTTCTTAGGCCTGAGCACGATTTGATTTGGTCGATTTTAACTCCAACCCAAAATCAAAATCAAATTAGTTGGTTGGGGCAAATTTCAACCCATACCAACTCACTCTAACAGTTTGGTTAATCAGTTTAAAAGTTCAAATTAAATTTTTTTTAAAAGAAATTGTCTGAGTTTTGGGTCCACTTAGATTATAAGAACTAAAATAACAAAATAATTTTATATTTATAAGAACTATTGACTAACAAATAAAATCAGGTTAATAAAGATGGATCAATAGAAAACTTAAAAATTCTAATTTTTTTTATATGTATTATGTAGTCTAACTGCATGAATAAAAAAAAATGCTAACTGTAAAATAATAATCTTGTGAAAGATAATTTTCAATACCATTACTTACCGACAACATTACAGATTGGAGGAAATCGAGATATAGTTTTGAGATTAGAGTTTATCTTTTGATTTTTATTTTTGTTAAATTTAAAAAAAAAATGCTAACACGTAAGTGGGTTTAGTTTGTTTGGTTAAACAACAGTTTAAGACTTCAAGTCATGACTGAATTATTCCACCATGATTTTATTTAAAAGAAAATCAAACCAAACCAATCATCTTTGTTGAACCAACCCGAATCGACACGATAATTAAATCAACTTTAATTTTGTTTGATAAGTCAAAGGCTGCATTAATTAGTTGGAAGCACGTGATAAAGTTGTGTGAAGTAAAAACTTTATTTCTTTATATGTTTAGCTCCTGTTTGAGGCCTATTTTTTGGAATAAATAAATTTTGCAATAATTATTTAAAAATGTATGATTAAAAGAAAAAATAATATAAGTTTATGTCTAAAATTATTTTGTGAGAAGATGTATGATTAAAAATGAACTTTAAAACTAATAATTTTTTTTTAAAAAGTGAGCGGAAACATGAGCGAATCACAATGATTGAAATCTTACCAAAACACCTTATCTTTTTCAACCACTCTTCCCCTTACCCTTAATGCTACATCCATTAATATTTCTCTTTACAACCCTATCTCCCAGCCATAGTTGATAGACCACCGTCCAAGAAAAAAAAGTTACACACACACACACTCTCTCTCTCTCTCTCTCTCTCTCAAAGTTGAAAATTATCTAGAGAGTTATAGCGATTGGGGTGCGTGGAGTGGCGTGGAGACAGGAAGGGGCTTCTATCATTATCTTTTCATTATCTTCTCATCCTTCTGTGACTTGCATAATCTTTATATATCTTTCAATAATCAAATCATGATTGGTGGGCTCCTCCAAATATATTAATTATTGCCATCCCATCTAGTCGAGTATATAATGCTAGTACCATATCAGTAAATGAAGTCATGAAAATATTACTAAAGGCTAGTCTGCGTCTCGTGCGTTGCACGAATTTTGTATTTATTTTAATTTTATTAGCGCAAAATTTATAGATTGTACAAAAAGTATTTGGAAATAGGAAATGTTTGTTTGATTCTCATCTTTTGGTCGACTGTATATTGTATGTCACGATAATTTATTTTTATTTTTATAAATAAGTATAATGAATGTTGTGATTGTATATATGTCAACGAAAATTTATTTTTAATTATTTATTGTATTTTTTTTGTTTAATGTAGATGAAGATATTTTTTTTATCTGATATTGCAAATAAGTTGTAAATTGAATTTTGCAAAATGCTTTTTTTTAACAACTTCGATTCGAGAGGCTGTATTTGTAATTCAAAAATAACACATGCAGTTGTAAATTGAAAGAGAATATCCATATACACAAACATTTAAATAACAAACTCAAATTCACACGTAAAATAACTTGAAGTGGCACTTACTGAATGACAAACTCCCTTGTTGGTGTAAGAATTAGAACCCTAATAGCAGGCCTATTCTTCGGACGATACAACAGTCACTCCAAAGTTGGTAGGGCAAAAGAATTTGAAAAGAAAATTTAAATAAATTTTATTCGAAAGAGAAAAGAATTAAAAAGAAATTTAAATAAATTGATAAAAAAAACCAATTATTTATAAAGTAAAATTTTCAATTTTAATTAAATAATATTTATATATTCTTCATTTAATTTTCATAACTTTATTTTATTTTTTACTTCTAAATAATTTTAAACGAATTTTTTTACTTATATAAGTAATTTTTACATATATTAGAAATATTTTTTGTTAATATGTTTATTTTAAAATTCGTTTTTAACTAAAAGTGATTTTTGAAAAAATAAGTTTTATTTGGGAGAGAAAAGAATTAAAAAGAAAAAAATAATTGATTTTTTTTAATAAGAAAACGCATTTGTTAACACATACGTTTAATTTCCGTTTAACTATTTTCGATATTTATTTAGATCATTCGAAATCTCTATGATATAGTTCTCAAAATGAGTTTCGAGAGAATATAAAACATTTATCAATTCGACTATCGTGTAATCGTCGATAAATTTTTAAAGTTAGCTTGTTATCGAAAATTTCAAAATAGTAATAAAATAATTGATTTTTTTAAGAAAAACGACTTATGCGTTTTTTTTAACACATATGTTTAATATCCGTTTAATTATTTTTGATATCTATTTAGATCATTCGATATCTCTACGATATAGTTCTCAAAATGAGTTTCGAGAAAATGTAAAACATTTATCGATTCCACTATCGTACAATCGTCGATGAGTTTTTAAACTTTGCTTGTTATCGAAAATTTCGAAATATAGTTTGAAAATGCCTACTTTGACGTCCCATAATATTTGCTATGATTGACCGTTTCACGCACCGTTAACGACGTGCAATACTATGCCGCAAGTACTTCAAAACGATATTAAGAATGTAATATTTCGACTTCGTTTGATATCCCGTAATGAGCCTGAAAATGAACACAAAAACATAAGTTAAAAAAAAAAGATTTTCACTTCTCTCTGTATGGTCTCCTCCGTGCACGGAATCCTTTTTTTTTTTTTTTTTCTTTTTTAAATAAAAGCTAATACCTCTTTA